TACTTATAAGTCTACTTACTACTTACTTGCTAAGTCCCCCGACCCTCCAAGTATGAGCTATTCACTTATGGCCCTAAGGATTGAAGCTATGACTACGAGCGATTCATTTACAACCCTAAGCCCTTAAATGCACTCCGGCTCCTAAACCCAAAGCGCTGAACCCACATCTCTAGGTAAGACCTATCAGCGGGTACTATGCTATGTTCACAAGAAGATCCCCGACAAAAGTATGACGAATTCATTACTCAGACCCCTCTAAAAATCTCTAAACCTTAAGCCCTTAACCTTAAACCCCAAACCCTAAACCTTAAACCTTGAACCCCGTGAGATTGTCCGGTTCTTGGCTGAGCCGCAACCATGGCCAAGCCAGCGTAGCTGGCGAGGAGGCCCCAGATCCTGCGGCTTTATCCTCTAGGGTTCCTTCAAGGATTTCTTTGAGGGTTCTTTCTAAGGGTCTAGGGTTTAGGGGTTCTTTTAAGGGTTTAGGGTTTAGGGGTTCGCTTTAAGGGTTTAGGGTTTAGGGGTTCTTTTACAGTGAGCCCCAGAAAGTTGGAACATGGGATTAGCCTGGTTGGTGCTAGGATTCCTTACACTTCATTTACCTTAAGGGAATGAGCATTCTTCATGCTCCAACTTTCTGGCTTCTACTTTAAGGGTTTAGGGTCTGGGGTTTAAGGGTTCTTTTAATGGTTCAGATTCGTGGGGGGGGGATCCTATACTGGATTCTACAGCAGGCTTAGGGCTTCGGAGTTCAGCGTTTAGGGCAAGGGTTTAGATCCGAGACACCAAAGCCTCAACTGGCTATTCTGGTTGGGTTCGGGGTGTCGGGGTTCAAGGTTTAGGGTTTAGGATAAGTAGTTAATGAGCTTTCTCTATAATCGGATGAGTTACACGACTTTTTTACCGGCCCCTTTGCAGGCGATGAAAACAACTAGTCAGGCCTCTGCCATGTTCTTATCCGGCTTCATGTATGCACACATGCGTCACGCGTTCTCTGTGTGTGTGCATACATATACAAAGATGTGTGGCATGCCCCCACATGGTGATACAGGTAGACGTGCATATGTATGCATCTACGGATATGGTGTGGTACCGTATGGTATGGTATGGTATGGTATGGTATGGCGTGGCGTGGCGTGGCATGGCGTGGCGTGGCATGGCATGGCATGGCATGGCATGGCATGGCATGGCATGGCATGGCATGGCATGGCATGGCATGGCATGGCATGGCGCAATGTGATGCCATGTAGTGTGGTGTAGTGTAGTGTAGTGTAGTGTAGTGTAGTGTAGTGTAGTGTAGTGTAGTGTAGTGTAGTGTAGTGTGTAGTGTGTAGTGTGTAGTGTAGTGCAGTGTAGCGTATACTGCAAGGACATGTAAGTGCATGTATGCGTATGTATGCGTGCGCATGCATGCACGCACACACTTAGGGCATGCACACATGCGTGCATGCATGTATGTATGTACACACGC